TACACACACACACACACACAGAGACACAGAGACACACAGACACACAGACACACAGACACACACAGAGACACACACACACAGAGACACAGAGACACACAGACACAGATACATACACTCAGAGAGAGACACACACACACACAGAGACACACAGATACACACGCAGACACAGAGACACACATATAAATACACACACACACACACACACAGACACACAGACACACAGACACAGATACATACACTCAGAGAGAGAGACACACACACACAGAGACACAGAGACACACAGACACAGATACATACACTCAGAGAGAGACACACACACACACAGAGACACACAGATACACACGCAGACACAGAGACACACATATAAATACACACACACACACACACACAGACACACAGACACACAGATGGTTGGGTTGGGTTGGGTTTGGGACTCTCAGAGAACTCTATCTGCCTCCCTCCGCCTCCTGAGTGCTGGGGTTAAAGTTGTGTGCCCCCACACCCACCCCTCATCCAATTCAGAAAAATGAGCAGTGAAGGCCTGGTGGTGGGAAAGACGACTTTATTGGGATGTTAGTGAAGAAACTTTATTGGGATGGTGAATTCCAGGGAGCGACATACACTGGGACCCGGGTGGTTGTCACCTTAAAGGAGCAATAAATTAACATAAAATAAATTAAGGTGAGGAGGTCCCTTGTAGGACAGCAGTTAGGAATTTCTAGGAGGGGTGGGGGTGGAATTTGGAACCGGGAGAGGGAAATAAGAATGAATTTGCCAAGATCTCCCTCCCCCACCGGAGGAGGCTGGGGGTTGGGACTGAGGGCCAGGAAGGGGGGCAGTCTGGGCTCAGCTGAAGGCAGCCGGGGACAGGGGTCAGGGTCGTTCCTCCAGGAAGCGGTAGGTGGGGTTCTCGTAGCCATGCCGCTGAAGTTCCCGGAGTTGCTGCTCTTCCAGGGTCAGCATGTGGTCCACCTGCAACAGCGCCAGGGAAGGACTCAGGAAGCCGGGCGAGCCGCTTACTCTACCCCCACCGCGAGGCCGGCCTGCGTCTCTCACCTCCACCACCCCATGGCTGATAGTCCCATAGGGTTTCTTCTTGCGCAGAAGCAGCAAGGATAGAACAATGAGGGAGCCCCCTCCAGCTCCCATGATCAGCAGACCCGACACAGCCTCTCGGGACACCCCAGTCCCAGCCGGTGCCTGCGGGGAGAGGAGTTGAGACCACGAGGATCAGTGAGGGCCCATCAGATTCCAGTGCGGTTTGGAGGCCACAGCCTGGACACTGACCTCTGACCTCTCCCTCCCCTCCCCCGCCAGGCTCGGCCTCCTCTTACCAGTTCATCCCGTTGGATATCTGATGAGTGGAAGGGAAAGCCCCTTGGGACAGATGCATTCACCTAGGGGAACAGGAGATGTTTTGTGGCCCCAAGACCCAGGAGGGTAGCTCTGCCCCCCAACAACACTGAGTCCACATCCCCAGGAAGTTTCCAGAACCTTCCCTCCCCGCAGGGTCCAGACCCTCATTGTCTTGGGAGCCCGAGGTCCCACTTACCCTTTGCTCATACTGCTCCAGTGGGGATAACTTCTCTTTCCCGGAGGAGGACAAGTCTTGGTCTGTGGACCCTAACATCTCACTCCGAGACCTCCAGAGGGCTCAGGAAGGGCACTGGATTCCACCCCAGGAGGCCTGGGCTTCCTACTATATGCAGTGCTTTCCCTTCTCAACTTGGGGTTCAATGGGATTTAGTGGCTGGGGTGTCTGCTGTGTGACACTTACCTTTTGGAAGAGTCACTGGGGAGTCTGCTGGCAGAATGCATCAGGATCAAGATGATGGGAGAACAGTCAAGAGAGGAGGCCATGAAAGAAAGAATAAAGAACCCCCGCCCCCAGGACCAAGAACCCACACCCTCAGATAGCCCTCCTTATTCCTTCCTGCCTGTCCTGGTGGCACAGACACCCCCAGACCTTGGAGAATTATAAAGAAGGTTGCATGCTGGTTATGGTGGTGCACACTTCTGAAACCTTAGCACTTGCAAAGCTAGGACAAGGGGACCACGAGTTTGAGGCCAGGCTAGGCTAAATAGTGAGTTCTAGGTCAGCCTGAGCTACAGAGTGAGACCCTGTATCGACAGTCTGCTGAGCTGGGCCTCAAGGCACAGGCCTGTAATCTGAGCTACTAGGGACGCTGAAGGGGTGTGTGTGTGTGTGTGTGTGTGTGTGTGTGTGTGTGTGTGTTCTCTATCTATCTGCACATACACCTTTTCACCAGAAGAGGGCACCAGATCCCACTATAGATGTTGTGAGCGGCCTGTGGTTGCTGGGAATTGAATTCAAGACCTCTGCAAGAGCACCAGCACTCTTAACCTCTGGGCCATATCTCCAGCTCCTAGACTGTCTTAAAAAAGGAACGTGAATAGAGGGCTAGGGATAGCGCTGAGTGGAAGAGCTCTTGTAGCATGCACAAAACCCTGGGTTCCTCAACAGCTTCTTCCTTCGGGCCTAGGACTCCAACATAGCAAACTAAAGGAAATGAGGCTTTGACTTTCAACGTCGGACATTCTATATCCAGGCTCACTCACCATCCTTGGATTCTGGAGGCTGAAGCCCACCCTTGTCCTCACGGCTGCTCCCCGGCCCCGAGGGCCTGGGACCCAAGTGTTCCGAGTGGAGAAGCTCCTCTGAGGGAACATGCAGAAAGACGGCTAAGGTGAATATACAAACACAACAGCAGAGCAAAGCAGGGCACCCTGCTAGCAGAAGGGGGTGGGAGGTGAGAGAGGCAGGAGAGCCGGCTCCAGGCAAACAACCCTAAGTGTGAAATGCAAGGCGCCCTCAGCAGGAAAGGTAGAGGCTAAATTTGCAATAGCCCTACCTCTTTAAATACCAGGAGGTTAGAGCTAGGTATTCGACATCCAGAAAGAAGTCACAGTAACCTGAGGACTATGCAGGACAATACTTTCTGGTATTCTCACTCTTGTGTAGGCTCGGCTCCCTCTGTTGAATCTGGATTTGACTTATGACTTGTTCTGACAATAGAATATTGGCTCAATAATCCAATTGCAGCTCAGTGGTGCACATGCCCAGTATATACAAGGCCCTCGTTTCCATCGCTGGTACTGTCCAATTATCTATTTATTTATTTAGTTAGTTTCCTATTGAGACAGGGTTTCTCAGGAGGATTACTCAAAGTTCAAGGCTAACCTGGTCTTCATGGTGAGCGTCAGACCACTCAGTGCTATAGAGTAAGACCCTGTCTCAAAACACGATGACGAAAACCAAAGTGACTGGTAGCCTTCCCACCAAAAGAACCAAATAGCTGAGTCCAGACCAGAGGAAAATGATTCAAAGTAAGTGCAAAGAAAAAATGGCTCTTAGTTAGGA